TGCAGGTCCCCCAACCATTTAATTACTGAACCCCATGCAAACTGAGCATTGCCATGGCGACCTGCAGCCCTAGAGAAGACTATCTGTCTCCTCTTTGACCTTTCAGGAGATCTGTATCTTCCTCAAGCCCCCTTCCATAATCCGGTTTTTAAAATATAATATTATGCTACTGGAAGGGATCAGACCTTTAATCTGCTTGTGTGTGCATGTGTCAGTGCATGGCTGGGGGTGCTGCTTTGGGGCACCCTGCAGGGTTCAGGGCCAGACAGGGCACAGCACAGTGTGACTGCCCTGCTGGGGCTGCAGGTGAGCTCCCAGGGGGAATTCCTGCCTTTGGCACACAGGTGGAGGAATCCTCTCCCTCTCCATTCATTCCCCTTGGCGTGGGCTCCTTCCACGCAGGTCATGCAGCAGTTGGGCTTTTGCTGTACTCTCTTGGTAGCCCCAAAGTGCATGTTCTGGATCCTGACCTGAGGTCTTGCAAGCTGGATGTTCTTCTGCCTGTTGTGTTCCCTCCATGTCTGTGAGCTGGGCTGTGATAGGTGCTGGCCAGGGCCTCTTTTATGGGATGTGGGAACAAAAGTCTGCAGCCAACAGTTAAGAGTGAAGAATAATAGAATTAATGGAGTGGTTCGGGTTGGAAGGGACCTAAAGACCATCTTGTTCCAACTCCCTGCCATGGGCAGGGACACCTCCCACTAGCCCAGGTTGCTTCAAGTTCCATCCAGCCTGGCCTTGGACACTTCCAGGGATGGGGCAGCCACAGCTTCTCTGGGCAGCCTGTGCCAGGGCCTCCCCACCCTCACAGGGCAGAATTTCTTCCCAATATCCCGTCTAACCCTGCCCTGTGGCAGTGGGAAGCCGTGTTCCCTTCTCCTGTCACTCCAGGCTCTTGTCCAAACTCCCTCTCCAGCTTTCTTGGAGCCCCTTTGGGCACTGGAAGGGGCTCTAAGGTCTCCCTGGAGCCTTCTCTTCTCCAGGTGAACCCCCCCAGCTCTCCCAGCCTGGCTCCAGAGCAGAGCTGCTCCTCTGATCATCTTGGTGGCCTTCCCCGGGCTCACTCCAGCAGGTCCATGTCCTTCCTGTGCAGGGACCCCAGAGCTGGATGTGATCCCACTCAAGGTGGGATCTCACCAGAGCAGAGCAGAGGGACGGAATCCCCCCCCTCAGCTGCTGCTCACCCCGTGAGGATGAACCCAGGACACAGTTTGGCTTTTTGGGCTGTGAGAGCACGTGGCTGGGGCACCCTGAGCTTCTCACCCACCACCACTCCCCAGGACTGCTCCCAGTCCACTCCCCACCTGGCCTGTGTTTGTGCTTGGGAATGAGGAGCAGGGGACCAGTCAGTCCAAGGGAATTGGAGCAGGGGGTGTGGGACACAGCTGCTCCCTGTTCCTCACAGCTGTGGGCATTTTGGGGTATCTGGGCTGCTCTGGGAGGAGCTCAGGGTTCAGCCTGTCTTCAGGAGGACAACTTTCCAGGTTACTGTTTTCCCCGGAGAAACGTGCTGGGATTTTTATGGCCCGTGGAGGAGGCAGGGCTGAGGTGGGTGTCTACCTGCTGTCAGTTGTGTGGTGTCACTGATGGTGGTTTGGATGAGCTGCTCCCTCGGGGCTGGGGGAAGGCAGAGCCTGGGCAGGACTGAGCTGTGAGGAGTTTGGCCAGGCTGGAGTTACAGCTGATGTTTCTCAGTTTCTGGTGTCCCAAAGCCTGTGGTGGTGCAATGTCTTTTTTTCCTGCTGGACCAGGACAAAATTTTAGGGCTGGGGATGCAGCTGCAGTGAATGTGCAAAAAGAGGTGATTTCTGAAAATTGCTGTTATCTGGGCAGAGCCCTCCTTCCCAGCTACATCACTGAGAGCTGGTGGAGTACTGGAAGAACTGAGAGTCAATTAGAAGTTAAACTTTCACTCCTTTTATTAAATAGCATGGGCATGAAAGCAGTTGGTTGGACTTTGTGGGAGGTTCAGGGAGGTCTCTTGTTGAAATTATATAAGTTTACTCTCTTGTGCAGTCCTGGGTGAGGAGGAGGTGGCAGAGCTGGCAGCTGCAGAGCCAAAGCTGGTGTTTTGTTCTGTTACTCCATTATGGTGGTGGTAGAAGGTCCTGTGGGTTTAGCAGAGCAAGTGTGTCCCTTGTTAGAGCCCACACAGTCCCTGCAGTCTGACTGCAGCTGTGTGGGGCTGCCTTTGCTGGGGCAGTTTGGCCACCAGAGTTTTAAATAATGCTGAAATCTTTCACCTATGCAGAAATATCTCAGTTTTTCATAAAAATCTCTGGTTACCATTCATCCTCTTTTCTCCTGCTAAGACTTGAGGCCCAGCTCTGTGCTTCCTCCTGAGCCAGGTGTAGGATGAGCCCAGAACACAAAGGCAGCCTCTGCTCCAAACCTCCCGTGCACCAGGGCAAAAGGAACTCCTGGGGACAGTTTGATGTGTTAAAAGCTGTCTCGGCCTGTTTGCTTTATCTTGAGACTTTCTTCCCTTTCCTCTCAATGTCACCTTGGTGTTCAGTTTGCCTTCTGCAGAGGTATTCCAGCGAAATCCTGTTTTCCTGGGATTCTGCCTAATTGTGTGGGTAGACTTGAGTGGAGTTCAAAGCCTGTGACTGTGAGCCCTGTGTGGAGTGATGACTTGCTAATGCACCTTTGCACCCTGTGATGATTTTCATTTTAAGAGCATGGAAAAATCTCCTTAAAAAACACGAGAATTTTGGGGAAGAAAAAAATACCACCTCTGGTGTGGTAGTGTTTCCTTCCGTGTGTTTTTGTTTTCATTGGATATATCACAGCTTTCTGCACTCTTTGAGTTTTGGAGAACCCGGTTAAGGAGCTGTGCTGCGCTCTTCTCCGGGAAGTTTGAGTTTTAGTGGTGGGTAAAACAATTCCTCCTCCTAGCTAAACGTGTTTACAGTGCCGTGGGCTCGATTGGGATGCAAGACACTCTGCAAATGCGAAGATGTAATTATCCCATTTTTCTCTTCCTACTCCCTGCCTCTCTCTCCCCCTGCACTCCGGGCTCCTCTCCTCCGCCCTTTCCCCAGCGTTGTGCTGATGGCAGCGTTTATCTGCATTTGTCCTCTGTCCCTGACATCCAGTTATTGATTGGCATGATTAAAAAGAACTGATAATCACCTCACATTAATCCCATAAATGACTTAAGACACCAAAATATTTGCATAATGCATCTTAAAAGGTGGCAGCTAAAAGAGGATAAGACCCAAAACTGCTTGGCACAGGAGAAATGGGCTTCCCACTCACCTGTGGGCTTGCTTAAGTAATTAGCCTTCTGCTTGCATAAGGAGGAATCTGAACTGGTTTAGCGGAGGAAGATGCAATGGGTGCTCAAAGGCTTTGGGATCTGAGCATCCCTTCTCCCAGCTGAGCCCGGGGGCGGGCGGGGGGAGCAGCGGGAATGTGGCAGCGGCTGCCGGAGGAGCGAGCGCGGCGGGGCTGTTTTTGTCTGCAGCATCCTGTGAAAATCTGGAGCCAGACGCCCGCTGAAAGTACCTCTGTCTAAAGACTTTCTGTCATAAACTTATCTGATTAGCAGGGGAGCTAGACGACAGATTAGCCCCTGCTCTCCAGCAGCAGGGACGGGCTCTCCCGGGAGCGCCGGAGCACATCCGCTCCTGGCGCTGGGAGCAGCCCGGAGGTGGGGGCGCAGCAGGTGGGGAGGAGGTGGAGGGGGGGGGGATAAGAGGGGGATATTTAAAGGAAGATCATTGCTAGGTAATTCTGCAGATAATGCACCCTCCCTGCTGCCCTGCTGGTCCCAGGTGAGGACACTCTCTGCCACCAGGGCGTTGGTGTCATGTGCTGTGTGTCACAGCAGCACAGAGTGGGTGCACTTGGCATGTGAGTAGAGGCTGGGAGGGAGCTGTGGCTGTGGGAGGGGGGGGCAATATTGCTAATATGTATGGGGGTTTTTTGTGTCTCCGGTTCTTCTGGCTGTCATCTTCCATGTAAAGGGAGGGGAGGAAGAAAAATAGCCACGTTTAGCTCAGGGCAAGCACCTTGTGCTGGAAGGAAGGGGGGGTTTGACATAACGCTGCAAACAAACAAAAGGGAGACATTCCAGCATTGCCAGTTAGTGTGGTGTTTTACCTTGTTCTTCCTCCTCACTGTTTGTATATCATTTATTCAGAAATATTTTGCAAGTGGATAGCGGTTTGCAAGCAAAAGCATTTGCCACTGAAATGCACTATCTGCTACAGTGAATGCTTTTTGTGTTCTCCCTCTCCATAGAAGGAAAAGAAATAGAAAAAAATAAAAAAGACTAAACTAGCCTACTTAGCAGCAATCTGATGCGAGGATAACAGGCAAAATAATGCTGAATTGCTCTAAAACATTCTCTTTTCCCAGAAGGAAGAGCATTGTTTCAGGGTCTGTTAGAGGGAAGAGTTGAAAATTAGTTTAGTAAATAAATCTGTACCCTCAGCTCTGAGTAATGCTGATGTCCGGGCTCGTGGTGGGTTTCTCTCTAAAGAGAAAAACTATTATTCAATCAAATCAAGCAGTCTTTTGTTCCAAGAGTGATGGAATGGAAAAACTTGGTTTTTTTGAGAATAGAAGGGTGGCAACTGATAGAAAACTATCAGTTATTTCAGTTCAAGTTTCCTATTAATTCTGGAACAGACCTGCCAATTCCTGCACTTTCAGTTTTTCCATCCTAGATGTAAGTCCTGGCCCACGCAAGTTATATCTGGCAAAACTGAAATCAGGAGCTCTGGCAGCTGCAGAGTCCTTTATGGGAAATGAGAGTGCTGGCTGGGAAGGACTTTTTGCACTTCTCTCCCCAAAACCAGAGGAGGTTACCAAGGAGGTTACCGATGGGTGGGAGGGGGGGAACAACCTTCCTTGGAATACAGCGGTGCCAGGGGCAGACAAAAGGCTCCTGCATGTGCACACACACACACACACAGATGCTCACACACACAGAAATCAATTATGTGGTGGCAAATAGGATTTCCTTAACTTGGTGCTTTTCTGCTCTGTTGCAGCCGCGATAACGACCTTTCCACTATCATCTCCAACCTGCACCAGAGCCGCCAGCTCGTTATGCCAGAGACCCAGAGCCGCTGTGAATTCAAGAGAAACAGCATCGAGGTTGGCCTGGGAGCAGCAGGTAAGGAGCTGGAGCAGGTCCTGCTGCTCTGGGTTCGTTGACTCCCCTCCTCTCCCTTTGGCTGCCTCGTCCGTTCGCTTTTCGGCAGCTGGTTTCTTTGTGTTACAACTCTGTGAGCTCTAGGAAGGGGTTTTTTAATATTCTGGCTAAAGATTAACGTGGAAAGGATTTCATGGTGATGGTGAAGTCCTTCTGAGATCCCAGCCCTGTGTGTTATTCCCAGATCTAGTGGTCTGTGTTAGAGTACTGGCAAAGGAGCTTGCGCCAGCAGAGGAGTGAAATGTCCCCAGGGTTGGTGCCAAGTGAAGCAGAAAGGCCTTGCAGAGAGCATGATTTGATTTGTAATTTCATTAATCAGAGGTTCCCCGTGCTGCTGCTGTGCCTGCCAACTCCTTTGGGAGTGTGGTTGTTTGGTTTTGTAGCGCTGCCCGGTTTTTTTTGGGTAGTTCACCTGGTTTCAGGTTAACGTGGTGGCACCAGAAATGCTCCTCTGGGATCCTGCCCTGTGCCTGTCTGGATGTCAGTGAGGGAGTGTGGGCAGGGATGCTCTGGTGACAGTTGTTCATCAGTCACCAAGTGAGGCTCTGTAATAAACTGGAGATCTGTTGATTGCAGGATCTGTGATTTGCCGTTGATTATAAATAAATGTTGAGGGAAACCTGTGATTTATGTTAGTGTTTTATGTTGACTGATCCCTGCCCTTCCAAATCAGGGCTGGATCTCTATGTGTGTTAATACAGGCCTTTCCTGAAAACCTGTCTGTTGGTGGATTTGTTCACATTTTTTTTTTTGTTAGCCATTCTGTTGACTGTGTAAATTAACCCCAAATCTGAAGGGAACACCAGTCTAACACCCTTTGGGAATGTCTTTGGAGGGTGCTCAGGAACATGACAGGTACCTGGTTGGCTTTTTGCCTGAGGTTTAACCCTTTCCTGACAGGTTCCTTCTGCCTGCAGTGGAATTTGTACTGGTGTGACTACTTAAGTGAAGTGTTCAGTGCCATGGGTGTGTCGTGCTGAGCTGGGGGATTTGTGATATGTCTGTAGAGCAGCCACAGGCAGCTCCCAGTCTTTGCTCTCACATCTTCATCTTCATATTCTCATCAATAACAGATTTCCTTAACATCCCCTTTTCCTACACAGCTCCAAGAGCACCAAACTGGCCAGAGATCCATTTTTCTGTGTGACCTTGCTTGAGTCTGTATGTCTGTGTGTCAAAATGGTTTTTAACATTGTTTGCTTTACAGAGAAACTGCTGGGCTTGATCAGTGTTGCTGGGATTCTTTGAGGTCCATGGCATTCCTGAAATGCAGAAGGGTTCTTCTCATTCCCATCAGTGCTAGGCAGTGGAAAAGATGAGATGTAGAAGCCCTCATTCTTATTTGTTAAGAGTTGATGTTGGAGGTTCTCTGACTAGTTTTTTAACCTTAAGAAGCAGCAAAAGAAGTGGCCTCAAGCTGTGCCAGGGGAGGTTTAGATTCGATATTAGGAAAAATTTCATCATGGGAAGCGTTGTAAAGCATTGGAACAGGCTGCCCAGGGCAGTGGTGGAGTCACCATCCCTGGACATGTTCAAAAAAACGTGTGGATGTGGCACCTGGGGACGTGGTTTAGTGATGAAACACGGTGGTGGTGGGTTGATGGCTGGGCCTGGTGATCTTAGAGGGCTTTTCCAACCTTAATGGTTCTATGAAATACTCAAGGAGTGCTGGAGCAGTGAAAGAGAAGAGGCTCATCCACACAAGAGGCCACCAAGCGAGCGACAAAGCTCTTCAGGACGTGACAGATCTGGTGTGTCAGACAAGAGCTGATCTGCAAAAGAGCGAGATGGGGGGCATGGTGGGGATATTGTCACATGTCCCCAGGGACAGTTTAACTCTGAATTCCCCCCTCTCTCTGGAGCCAGCTCTCTCTCCATGCTGGTTTGATTAAGGGAGGGCTCATTTTGCCAAAGTCTCTGCAGGAGCTGCCAGCTCTGAGTGCAGAGCGTGTGCTGAGCTGGTCCCTGTGTCACCTCCCGGGCACACACAGGCCAGGGGAGCAGGAACAGAAGGTGCTGGGATTTGGAGCTGATGCCCCATTGTTGGGTTTGTGTCTTGGTTCTGTTCGTTTTTGCTGGCAGGGGGCAAAAAACCACCAATTGCCACGTATAGAATGTGAGGAGAGCCAGTGCTGGGTTAGTCTGAAAGGCTGGTTGTTGTTTAAGCCACTTAGTTACAACAATAATGGGAGAAGAACCTTGCCCCCAGTTGTCTGCTGTGTTTGCACTGTGTGCCCTCGAGAACAGTGCTGTGTATTTGGGTTATGAGAACCTTCCCCCTCCAAAAGGCACCTGGAGATAACCAATCCTCAATAAATGATGTTAATGCCGTCACGTTCCTGCCTCACTCGTGTCCGTGAGCTGCAGAGCTCTCAGAGGCACTTGGGATCTGCTGCTAAAACAGTTTCTGTTGCTGGTTTATGGGTTTGGAGTTGGGCACATGGTGCCAGTCAGGAGAGGTGGAGATTCCAGAGGCTGCTCTGCTGCTCCAGCTGCACATCCCCCTTGTGAGAGGTGAGTGTGTGCTGCTGGAACAGGACTCACCAGCCTCTGCTCCTTCTTGGCCCTGGCCGAGGTTAAGCAGAGGATTGAGAACAAGGACAGCACAAATGGAAGAGATTTGCTTTTTGCAGGGCCCGTGAGGGTAGCAGGAGGGTTGAAGCTGGCAGGATTTGGCTGGTGTGTGATTAATTCTGTGAGGGAATTCCCTGATTTATAGTTAGAACCGGGATTAGAGGCAGTGCAATGGTTTTGAACAGCATGGACTGGAAAATCAGAAGTATTACTGGATCTTTGATGGTCTTTGAAATGCAGAAAGGGGCTGAAATTAATGAAAAATAATTGTGTATAGTTAGTTCTGGGGCTTTTATGACTTCTGGGAGATAAGAAAGGCTGGAGCTGGGGTTCAAGGTTAGAACTGGGCTGATGTTCAGGTCACAGGGGGCTGAAAAGACTGACTGGGACTTATAAGACCTTTGGTTGGAAGAGCAGCACTGATTAATACCCTTGGAAGGCTTATGGGTAACTTTTAAGTGAAAACAGGTCACTTTATGTCAATGGTGATGTTTATATTTGAGAACAGAGAGACTGAAGAGATTAATTTGGGACAGCAGAAGCTGAAAGACTTGGAAAATAAATAACTGTGCCCTGAAAGACTCAGATAGGGTTTGGCCCTGCCTGGAGCAGGATTTAATAACCCACTTGGGCTGTGCAATAACACACAGAGGTGGGTTTGGAACAATAAACCTGGAGGAGGTGCAGCCTTGGGGTTTGGGACAGCTGGGACCAAAAACTTCACTGTATTTTGGATCTGGTGATTTCCAAAGAGTTATAAAGGGTCTGGAATCATCAACACCAAATGGCTCTGCTGTTTCTTGCATTGCTGAGGGTGTGATTAAGGCCAGTGTGGTGATTGTGACACGTTGGTAAGCGTGGCATCTCCAGAAATCTGAGAGCTACAGAGCTTTGAAAATAAATTTATCATGGAAAAAAATGGAAGGACTGTTACCACTGTTCTACAGTGATAAAGGGGAAAGGGAGGTAGTTACGTTGCCAGCAGGTAAAATTTTATCAGAAATGTTGGACAAGATGCATAATTCCTTGCACCAGTTTTCGAGTACTTTGTAGGAGATGGGTCAGGCAAGACAAAGAAGGGCAAATTCCTCAAGATCATAAAGCAGATGAACAACAGAGCTCGGTTTCCTGCTTTGTCCTCCCTAACATCTCTGCTAAACCTCCATGCTGTTGTTCCACGGTGACAGTATGGAATAGATGTGGGTTTTAGAGAGTCAGCACAGAGCTGATCTGAGGGTGGTGTTCCCCTGCTGCTGCTCTCTGCACTGAAGCAAGATGTCTAGCTAAGAACAGCTGACAGCCTAACTCATGTTTGAAGTCCCCTGATGGCTGCTGCACCTTTAAAGGAAATCAGGAATGCCAGTGCAAAATTCTACCAAAAAAGGCAAAAACCTGCTCCAGGTGGTTGTTCTCGGTGAGAACCTGGAGCCCTGGGCTGGCTGAGCCTTTTGCAAGGAGAGCAGAAGTTGGTGGCCAGAGGTGTGTGCTGATAAAATCTAATTGCCCTATTGATTGGCTTTGGAGCCACTGTCCATGGGGAGTGATGGAGATATTTGTGTGTGGGTGATGTGTGTTGGTTCTATCTCACTGCTCCAGGGCCACTGGGGACCCTCAGGTGTTACAGGGATCTCTTAATCTTGGAGCAAACCTGTGTGTGCTGGGCCTGCTCTGCAGCACCACAGATTTATTATTACAATTACCTCTGAGGCACTTGGGTTTCCTGAGGTCCCAGGGGATCCTGGATTCTGGGAAGAGCTGCCCTGTTTGTAACTCGGGATTCTTAACTAGGTGGAGAAATCCATCTCGCTGGTTTGGGATTTTACCCATCTGCAGCCTCTCACACTGTTCTTCCTTCTCATCTGGGTTGGCTGGTGACAGTGTCATGTCCTCAGAGTTCTAAGAACAGTGTATCTCTGCTTTCTCTGCCTTTCTCTGTGCCTGGGAGTCGAGGTGCTTGTGCTTGCTAAATGCCTGTCCTCCAAAGGGTTGTGCAGATTCCAAGTGTGCAGGTGTTTGTTGTTTCCAGCACACACTGGAAGAGCAGCAGTAAGTTCTTGTGGAGGTTCAGAGAGTGGAGTGTGAGGGAAGGGCCTCTCTGCCATCTCTGCTGATCAAAATGATACCAAGCTCCTCTTCTGAAGTCTGGGTTATGTCTACACTGGGCTTACATCCAGCTGCTGGGTTTAATCTCCTACCACTTCCCTCGCCAGTTTTGGACCTTTTAAATTATTTATTTACTTACTTTTGAAACTAATGCAGCTGCTGGGAGGTGAGGTTGGGTTTTGGGCAGAGGGATACTATCCCTTTCCAGGGAAGAGAGTTGAGCAAGCACTTATAGGTGCTGACAAGTCTGCAGGGCTGCAGTTGTGGGGAACACCGTGTAGAACCCACCTGGAAAAATAAGCTTTGGTGATTCCCAAAGCTCCCGGAACGTGAATGGTCTCTCCTCACTTGACCCTGCAGGTTGATTTCTGTCTGCCCTGTCCTTCTCTCATGGTAGTGGTGGTGATCATCTGCAGTGGGAAGTGGTGGAGGTGCTTTCCTGGGTGCTAATTAAATTGCAGTCACGATGGGGATGCGCAACGTGCCAAGGGGAGGAAGAGAGGGAAAAGTACAAATATAATGGGGTTTGTGCTTCCTCAGGAACAGGCAGAGAGGCAGCTGCATTGGTGAGATTCGGTAAGAGGCTTAAGAACATCTGCAAAGGTAGAGAAGTGTGTTCCAGTGCCTCAGGGGGAGCAGGCACGTGGGAGGGGAGGGCAGGCAGGAGCCTAATGGGAATATAAAAGTCACTTCCAAAAGGATCAGATAAAGGCAAGGCAGCAGCCAGGGCACAGCACTGGCACTGCAGAGGGGTTTACCTTGAGAGGGGATGATGGCACAAGGAGCTTTAATCTTAATTGAGAGAGAGACACACACACACACACACACAAGGATGAGCAGAGCCAGGGCCGCCTGACAAAGGCACAGCAGCAAAGCTGACGGTTTGCACATCAAACAGGGATTTAGAACCCCTCTAAGCAGCTCGTGGTGTGGCTGTAAACAAGTCCAATCCCCTCTATCCAGTTTGGCTGATGGAGTCTGCCAGGTCCTGCGTGGGGTGGGGGAGGATGGAGGAGCCTCGTGGGGCTCTGTGGTTCACAGAGACAGCACAGGTGCCTTCCCCCTCGTGTGTGTGATTTCACACTGCTGTAAGGTTTGAACAAGCATCTTTTGCAGTAGACTCCTGGTCCCAAGGCTCTAAGTAATTCCTCTCCTGCAAAAAAAAAAAAAAAAATCCTCTTAATTTCTCCTCTTTCTCTCCTCAAACACCCTCTGTTCTGCAGCGCCACATTTCATGGCTTCCCAGTTGCAGTAGGACTATTTGCATGGATAGAAGTGGAAGAATCAGGCTCACTGATGCTAGAGGAAGGTGGGTAGATCTTCCCTCTCTTCCTTCTGCCCCTCGTGACTGGAGGGAGTTGGCTTGGTGTGGATATTGTCTGAGAGGAGACAGGGCAGAGTGTCAGGTCTCTCTCCAAACAGCGAGCAGGTCACCGTGGTTCTGCAGATAATATTGGGGACTGCTCATGGATTCAAGGTCGTGGGTTCAAGACCCCTTCCCCAGTGATTAGAGGCTTCCTTGGCTGTGGTGTGGGAAGGCCAGCTTTCCAGCAGTGCAGAGCTCCCAGAGAACTTGGGCTTCTTCTAGGGGTTATTGGTTCAACGTGATGGAAATGCCAAACCCTGAGAGCCTTGGCCTCAGAGCAGGGGTGTCCTCAGTGTTAACCTGCAGTGATTCCTGTGGAAATCCCACGTGGCAGGGGGGACATGACACCTGTGTCCCTTGAGGAGACCCAGTTTAGGAGTCCTGCTCCACTGGAGGCCAGGTATGGTGCTTTTGCAGTCCTGGAAAAGCAATGTTCATCCACATGTCCCAAAAACGTCATGAAAGAGACTTCTCTCTTCTCTCTGTGAGGTTATTTGTTCTGTATTAACCCTCCTGTCTCATCTCTCCACTTGATGCTCTGTTGACTAAGCGAAGGAGAAATTTTAGGAGTGAGCTGTAAAGAGCTTCACATTTAGGAATGTGGAATTTTTGTTGACAGGGCAGTGCTTGGAGATGGATGGATCTGGGTGTCTCTCACCTCCTGCGGGCCTGTCCCTGAATTCTTTGTGCCTGCCATGGAGGCCTTCCCAGTGACCTCATTTGGCTTTGCACTGAGACCCAGAGCTTTCGTCTGCAAAGGAGGAGTTAATATTGGGGGGTGGAAAAGAATTGGGATCACGGATGTTCCAGCTAATGGTTAGAGACAGAATCACAGCGAACGGCTGCTCTCGGAGCGTGTGATAATGAGCTGGGATGCAGACGTGTTTTCATTTAACTAAGCCAAACAACAGGGAAAAAAAGCAGCAGCCTTTATTGGACTGCTGCCTTAAATTGAGCAGAAAATCAGCACCAAATGGGCATCCAGGAGCTGCAAGCCCAGGCACTGTTGTTTATGTGTTTTACCATGAAGGACAATTGTTTACCTAGGCAACCTGAGGGTTGAGGCTCTGTCAGTGCCCTTCATCCTCTTCTTGGCTTGGAGCTGGAGGACTGTCCTCTCTTTGTGCTCTATTTAAGTTCATTTTTATTTCTCCTGAGGCCTTGCAGGAGTGGGAGGTGACCAACAACCCTTTTGTAATACAAGCAGAGGTTCCTGGGAGGGGAAGGAAAAATGGGAAAGCCCAACATGGAAGTGTTTCCTTTTGCTGTGCCCTGCAGCTGCCTGGGGTTTTGCTGGTGTGAGTGTTCAGGTTTTACTCTTGGCTTTGTCACTGCAGGAGGAGAAGGAGCTGAGGAAGTTCAGTGCCCTGTTCTTGGAGCTCAATAAACTTCGGATTGTAAAGGTTGGAAAAGATCTCTCTAAGAGATCTCGTAAGATCTCTCTCTAAGATCATCGAGTCCAACCTTGGCAGGGGTTTAAAGCCTGCCTCTGGCAGGAGAGTTCTTGTAGGATGGCTCTGCAAACACCTTTGGGAAGGTCACTGGGGCGTTCCAAGGTGTTTCTCCCTCAGTTTTAGGAAAGGGGTGCCACAGTTGGACTGGGCTCACCATGGGCACCTTGAGTATCCTGGTGTCCTCTGTGCCTGGTGTGAATGGGGCAGACTGGCCACAGTCAGGACAAGGAGTCTGTCACTCTCTGGAGTGGGATCCACCAACTCATGGCCAGTCCACGTTGCAGCTCCGAAGCTGAAATAAACACGGACTCCTCCTTCCTTTCCTTGCGGCTCTGGGAAGAGCAAGATTATCCTGCTTCCAGAAATAACCTCTTCCCGCCCCCTGCCTCCACCTCCTTTGCCAGGTGCCTCACAGGCAGCTACTAAGGAGCTGAAAACAGATCCCTGGTGCTGTGACACCTCCCTGGTGTTATATATAGAGATCCAGTGTGGACTGTGACCTGGCACCTGCCTTGTCCACTCTCACTGCTGGGTGGCAGAGCTGGCAGCTCTGACCCTGCCACAAGTCAAGCTGATGCTTCAGAGCCAGGGTTTGGCCCTACTCCAGCTCCAGTGCCCATGTGTATCTGTGTCACCAGGTTTGGGTGCCGTGGGTTAGTCCTGCAGGGCCTGGCTCCCTGCTCCTGTGCCCCAGGAACCCCTCACAGCTGCGTGTCTGCAAAGCTCCTGTTGGGATGAGAGGTGCCAGGAGCGGGCACTGAGCTCCTGCTCTGCTCCCTGTTTCTTCCAAGCAATCAGTGGCTCCCAGGTCGGGTGATGGGGAGGGGAAAAGTCCTGCCAAAGGGAGAGGGGTGCAGGGATCTGTGAGTGGGAGAGCTGTGTTGGAGGAGACACATGGAAATGCTGACTCAGCCTTTTGGATGGGTAGAGTTGAGAGAAGTCCACCAAGAAAAAGAGACCTGGACAGAATGAGCACTAGGCATTTAGAGCCACAGGTCAGGCAAACCTGCCAGGGCAGTGTGTGACCCTGTGACTGCCTGTGCTTGAAGTCCTGCCAGCTCAGTCTCTGCTTCAGCCCTGCTCCAGCACCTCTGCCCTTTGGCAAAGCCGGGCTGCCTGGGCTGATCCAGGGGAAATGGGAAAGGAGACCACAACTGTTACTATAATTTGGGAAAGGTCATGTATTGGTTTGGGTTTTTTTCCTCCTGCTGTCCCTGCAGGTTTCTCCCAGGTTTTTCCACAGGGGCACAGTAAAGACCCACAACTCCTTTCCCTCTGCTGAGCATCTCTGCTGACTTTCTGTGGTTATTGGCCTCTTCAGTGCAAATCAGGGAGATGGGTGGGGATTCTCAAGGGTCGAGTTGGGTGTATGTCCCTGTGGGGAACTGGAATCTGTCCTAATGCTGCCCTCTCCCCAGATAAAGCTTGTGGTTCCAGACCTGGTCAGGGAGTCAGCTGTGCCACATGCTTTGTCAAACATGAACAGACTTGGGAAGAGTTGTCCAAGGATGGAGGTTTGGGTGTTGGAAAGATTTTATTAATGATCTGCTGTGAGCAAGAAGAGGGTCAGCTGCCTATTTCATTAATTTTTCATCTATGCACAATCTTTGTGTTCCCAGTTCCTTTCCTTCCCTTTACCCTTCTCCCCTTTCCTGCTCTTTCCCCTCCTCCTCGCGTTCCTTTGGTTCTCAAACCCCTTTTCCCTCCCCCCCCCGCTTCCTTTTCCAGTCTTAATCTCCACCTCACCCTCGTATCCTCCTTCCTTTCCATTTCTCTTCCTCTTTTATTTCCCCTGTCCTCGTCCCTGCTCTCCCTTCCCCACCCTCCCTCCATCTCCAAGCTCCTCGGGAAGAAGACAATTCGAAGGCTTTCCGCCCCGCTCTCAGCTGAGAGGCTCCTTCCCTCAAGCCAATCAATGGCAGCCTTTCAGCCCCGTGGGGCTTGGCAAACATTAGATCAATAAGTTATTAGCACCATTCTGTCAGCTGTAATGTGGAGATTGATCGGGGCCGGGGCTCCTGCACGCTGCCTGGCACTTCCCCAGCCTGATAAAGATGACAGATTAAGGGAATAAGAAAAAGGAATTAAGGAGTCTGGCTGTCAAAGCTGTCACGGGCTGGAGGAGCTGTTTTTTTCAGGGGCTGGATGAGTGCAATCGGACATTTAGGTGGTGCTAAGGGGGTACAGCACCACCAGCAGCTCTGCTGGGAATCACTGTCCTCAGCCTTGGCTGTTCTGAAGAAATGCTGGGAGGCTGGTGGAAGGAGTAGCCAGGGAGGTGGAATAGCTGTGCTGGGGCTTGGAGGGGAATACCAGGCTCCTGGCACAGACCACGTGCAGACTGAGCACCCAGGAGCCTGCAGGGAAGTGGGAATGCTGTCCCTGCCCTGGGGCGTGGTTGGGTGATGTGTGGCATTCCCCAGGACTCGGGGACTGTGTCAGAGGGGTGATGCCAGTTCTCGTAGCTTTTTATCACAGATACATAAATGGAGGCCAAAGGATCTTTGCCCAAGGGGTTTGTGGTCACAGAATCACAGACTGGTTTGGGTTGGAAGAGACCTTTAAAGATCATCTTGTTCCACCCCCTGCCATGGGCAGGAACATCTTCCACTAGACCAGGTTGCTCCAACCTCTGTCCTTGGCCTTGAACACTTCCAGGGATGGGGAGTTCACTTTCTGGGCAACCTGATCCTTACTGGTCTTCTGATTTATCAGGCTTTCCCCTTCTCATGTCTTACCTGCTAGAAGATGCTCCTTTCTAGAGCAAGTGAGTCTCCTAAACCCTGGACTTCCAGCCCACTCTCCCATCCTCGTTCTTTGAATCTTTTCTGGAAGAAAGTGGAGATTCACAAGTTTGTGACTGCTAAAAAGCCTCTCTACAGCATATAAAATTAATTCACATCTCTCTCTTAAGTGCAGCATATCCCTTCCATGAGCGTTTTTCATACTATGAATATTTACCACCTTTCTGTGGCTTGGTGCGTGCTGTAAAAATGAATTTTGTAAGAACCTGGGAGACGGGGGTGTTGGTGCACTTTCCCTAATAAACAGCCTCATTACAGACAGGCAGGAGGGTGGCTCCAGCATCACCTGCACCTCCCTCACCCCTTGGCAACTGAAATATTGGACAGTCCTTTCGGGTGCTTTGCTCCAGCAAGGCAAGTCAAGTGAGCACGAGGAGGTGGGAAGTAGCAGGATACTGTGGATGGTAGGAGGAAAGGCAGATGGCCTTGTGGTTGGAGCTGAGGAAGGGGATGCAGGCTGCTTCCCATGCCAAGGAAAGGGTGGTTGGTATGTTGTACATCTACTCAGCTCCCTCTTTCATATGTGCTGGGGTCAGCTCGTGTTTTGGAAGGGGTTAGTGACACCAAGCCTACCTTTGGGGTGCTCCTGTGTAATGCATTGAGGTCAGCAGCTGATGCTCACTGACTCTTGCCAACTGGAGTCCTTCTCTGCCATTGAGAGGAGTGGCTGCACAACCAGTCTGCCAAAGTTCTCTCAAAATGAGCAGGAAAGAGAAAAACCTTTGATTGCTCAATATTCCATCCTCCTTGCTTTGTACTAAGAGCCCATTTGTGTGTCCCATTCCTCCCTCCCCTTTATTTCCTGTTTTTCTTCCTGGTCCAAGATCCTCTTGTCCCAGAGAACTTGAAGTATGATGCTTAGGGAATGTTTGCAGACATGTTGGTCTGGGCTAGGGACATTCCTGAGCCAGGAGTGCCCACCTTGCTCTGCTGTGTGTGCTGTTTGTGCTGTCAGCCTGACACAGCAGCCAGCAGAAGGAAATGCCCCTGTGCTGGAGCACTTGCAATCTAAATCTAAATGACATCCAGCAAATAGATAAAGATGTGGAGACACAAAGGGGCGGGCGAGATAACCCAGTGCAGTAACTAAGGTTTGAAGCCTGCTGCCTGCCATGTCCCTAAAACCATTAAGCTGACCTGCT